TCTGATATAGCGACGCCACCTGCCTCACTCATCCTGCTAAGGATTGCTTTAGCTATTCTGGGTCTCTTATTTTTCCAGATGAATTTCATTAGAACAGTTATTCTTAATTTGATGGTGTCTTTATTTTCTTGAGGCTTAAAATACCTTTTCTGGAGAGAAAAAGTTCCCATTAAAATAGTCTAGAATGCTTTTTTTAAAAAGTGGGGACTGACAATCCTACTGCTATCAGGCCACCACACACCATGGCAGTGGGGTCACAGGCAGCAAGAACTCATTAGACGGCCCAGCGGGACCTGGCTGGCATCCGTCCATCCCTTCCAATCTGTGTTGTGGCTGCTGCCCCAGGAGCACAACCAAAAAACTCAGATGACCCCAAGCCCCTGTGAGTACAATGATCTCTTGTGTGCTCCATGTGACAGACAGGTCTCTGCAGGATGGGTTTACTTGTGACATGGTCCTCTGCCTCCCTGCCCAGATGGCTGCAGAAGCCACCTTCCTTCTCCGTCCCACTCCTCCGGACCTCGGCAGCAGGCGGCCTGCCTTGCCTCTCCATCCCCCACATCTACTTGTCCTTTGACTAGTGTTTCCTCGAAGGCCTCTGTTCTGCATTTCCCATTCTGGGCGTGCCTGCCCCTCCCCAGGGTGCCCTTGTGGACCACCTGATGGACCTGGCTGCTGCTCCTCCAGGAAGCTGGGGCAGTAGCATCTTCTGAGTGAAACCCCTCTCCATCCCGCCTGCCAATGTGGGCAGTCCTCCCGGAGAGCCTCCCCAGCACCTGTGGGTCCTGGTCCCCCAGCCCCCCCTCCACATCCTATGCCTTGAGGGACAGGAGCCCAGCAGGCCATGCTGGCCCCCAGGCACTCACCTGTGAAGGGCACTCCCTTCTTCCCATTTCACACACCAGGGCCCACAGAGCCAGTAGGAGGCACCGCGCGGCCTCAGGGAATGTGACCCAGTCATGTGGATCCTACACATCATGGCCCCTGCAGCAGCTTTGCCAGGCCGCAGCCAGTCATGTGGGGTAAATTAGGGGTTGCAAACTCACAGGCTCGTGGAGGCCACCCAGGGGTGGGACCCATGGGAGTAGCTGGGCAGGATGGTGGCACTGTGCTTCCAGCTCCTGAGTGTCCTTGCTGGTCAGCTCTTGCCCACCAGCAGGACTGATCCTTTTTATAGGGAAGCCAAGAATCTGGATTTTGTACAGAAGTCTCCTGTTTATTGTTTTTAAACATTGCTCAGTTTATACAAAACATAGATGTGGGCCACACTGTGAACCCCCTTTAGTGCCTGTGGAGAAAATGGCGGGACTGTCCTTGCCAGGCCAGAACTCCATCATCCCCAAGAGGGAATTGATTCCAAGCAGAAAGGCAGGAGGCTCTGCAGCTCTGGAAAACCAAATGCTCCTAAATACAACTAGCTATTAGATGGCATCAACCAATTAGCAGTGATTTTATTAGAGGTGATAATGGTGTTGTGGTTAAATAGGAAAATGTTCTTAAGTGTTTAGAAATACACACTCATGATGGCTGCGATCTACTTTAAAACACTCTAGCAAAGAGGATGAAGCAGATGGGGAGAAGGGCTGAGACATTAGACGAAGCGCTACAGGGTTTCGTTAGAATTTGCTGTTTTGACATCTTTAATTTTTTTTAATTCTATCCCATGTGTATTTTTTAAAATTTGTTCTTTTTAGCTATACATGATGGAAGAGTGTATTTTGGCATATTATAAACATGCGGAGTATGACTTACTCTTGTTAGGATCCTATTCTAGTACATGATGTGGAGTTACACATCCTTGCACACTCTCAGTGACACACTTCCTCTAGCCATGCCCTACCCTCTATAGTTACCACCCAGTTAATCCATGTAAGTGGGTCAGTCTACTGGTTAGGATACACCTCTTGTTATATGAACAGAGGAGAGTTATGTCTGATTCGTCCTACTGTCTTTCCTATTCCCATCTCCCTCCCTCCCTTCTTGATGTCTTTAAAGATTTTCATTTTAAAAAAATCATAGCCACAGGAAACCATAGGCTTCTATGACTCATTTTGAGGTCTTCCATGACCCTTAGGTCACCTTCTACCCAGTTATGCGCAGAGATTCAGGTGGAGACCACAGGGAAACAGCATCCAGGACAGAGGCTGGAGGTCATGCAGCCCTGCTGCCTTGGCACAGAGGTGGTAGGTGGCTTCTGTTAAAGCCAACCTGGAAGTGGAATCTGAACAAAATCCTGGCTGGGGAAGCCTGGTGTAGAGGAAGCTGCAGATCTTTCTTGTGCAGGTTGAGGGAGGCTATCACTTTGAGCTCCTGGGCAAGACCCTCCCCCTCATGAGCCTCAGGTGTCAGCCTGGGTCGGTCCAGCACAGAGGGCCCAGATGAAGACTTCAAGATCCTGTTGCTTCCCTTTGAACAGCTCAGGTAAATGGCGCTTGGTTTTCAAGTGGAGACGGCTGCCACGGTGGCTGTGCTCACAGCAGGACCTGGCACTGTGAGGCCTGGGCATTTGGGGTTCCTCCAGGGGACGACCCCCATCTCGGCCAAGTCGCTGTTGGCTGGGGGAAGGGCGAGAGGAGGTTTTAGACAAGTGCTGAGGGCACGTTAGACTCTAGGGTGGAGGCCTCCGTGGTCTCTTTCCCAGGACTCCGTGGCTCAGTTAGCCCCACAGGAAGCCTGAGAGACCATCTGTGATATCTTCTTGTTACTTAGAGTGTTTTGAGCATCCCCTTCCAAAAAAGGAATCTTCCCAGGCTCCTCCAGGGCTGATTAGCTCTTTCTCGTCTTCCTGCAGCAGCCTCTCAAGCTGTCTTCGAGGGTTTCTTGTGCAGATTAAAAATGAGACTTATGAGCCCCGTTCAGCTCTGACCTGGTGCAGTAACCACCTTCCCGAGGAAGGGTGTCTAATTGCTTAATGACGGGTGGGAGCTCGAGGACTGTTCAGTCAGCTTCCTCGCGCTGTGACCAAAAGACCTGACGAGGACAACAGAGGAGGAAAAGTGTGTTCTGGCTCCTGGTTTCAGTGGTTCAGTTCATTGTCGGCCGACTCAGCTCTAAGTCCGAGATGAGGAGGAACATCATGGCAGAGGAAAGCGGCTCAGCCCATGGCAAGCAGGAAGCAGAGCTCTGCTCACCAGTGACAAAACATAAACCCCAAAGGCACACTCCCAGTGACATACTTCCTCTAGCCATACCCTGTCCCCTGTGGTCTCTGATTAGGACACACCTCGTTACTTCATGATGACGCGACGCTCTTGCACTGTCTCACAGGAGCTTTTGGGGGACACCTCCCATCCAAACCGTACGGACACCAGAGAACACAACCTGGCATGCAGAGCCCCAGTGGCTTTGGCTTGGGAAGGCCCTCATCTTTCTGGGCCAGGTGTCTTCCTCATCCACATACAGTTGCCTCTCCAGGTTATGTGGGATTCCAGCCACTGGCCAGGGACCCTGCTGGCAGTGATGCTACAGTGACCCATGGCCATTCAAGTGCTGCCATCCCCTGAGGAAGGTCTTCAAAGATGCACTCATCAAGGGGTGACTTTGGGTGGCCCCAAGGGGCTCCTGCTGGCAGCACAGTTCCCTGGTGCTCAGAGATGGGGGTGCCTGGGGAGGTTTTGAATTTCAGATGAACAACCAACAGTTTCTCAGTGTGGTGTCCCCGTGCGGCATGGCAGGTTTTCTCTGGGGGAATACTTCGGCTGGAAATCCATTTGTTGTTTGTCTGAAGTTCACATGGCACTGGGCATCCTGTATCTTCATTTGGTAACTGCTGACCGTGGATTAGAGATGCCAGGTCCAGGTCCTTGGCAGGGCTTCGTAGGAATGCTCTGGCGGAGACTGGGTGCCGGGCAGGTTTTCTAGGTGCCGTCTCAGCACATGGCCTCATTAGGCAGGTTCTACTGAGCCCCTGCCGCAGGCCAGCTTTGTGTCAGCACGGGGAGCAGAAGGGGGTGCCCCCGCAATCCACAGGGCCGGGGGTGAGGTGCCATCTGCTCTAGGCTGCCTGTCCTCCCCTGTCCTTCATCAGACTACACTCATCATGTTGCTGTGAGGGTGAAACAACCCTGCCACTGCCCTCTCCCTGCTCGTCGCTGACACACCCCATTTGGTCTTTAGCCCAGAAGGAGCTTCTTCAGAGGAAGCCTTGGCTGGCGCCCATACAGCCCAGGGTGTCTTTGTTGAGCCAGGGCCCACCAGTGCAGTGGGGCGTGGTGGGGCTGGCTAGAGAATCTGTAGGCCCCTCACTCCAAACTGTGGAGGACTTCAAGCGGGGACAGCATGGTATCACACGGCTCCAAGCACCGCCCTCTGCTGGCTCGGGGCACGTGTCTAAGAAGGCCAGGCGGTGCTGGGGAGAGGGGGCTGAGTGATGGGTGTGGAGCTCAAGCCTCTGAGTGCCCCTACCCCCATATTCAGGGGCTATTCAGTGCCACCCGTTAGGCCGAGTCCTGTAGGGGACAGGGCACATGTGCACAACACCAGCAGGGTGCCACCAGATGTCCTGGTTTTTCAAGAGAAGGTGGAAATTGTTAATATCATTGCTTCAGGAGGATTTTTTTATTGTCATTAAAAATGAAGATTTTTAGTGACAATATTTTTAAAAACTGAAAGCAGAATTAATCACCTCTCCGTAGCACTGAGCGGTGATTAGTAATTACGTGTTTACCTATGTGGTCCTCGATTTTTGTCTTCATCACTGGGTGTGAACGCCTCGGCACACGATAACCAAGTCATGTGTTTGGTTCTGTCCTGAGACCACGCTTGGCACATTGCTGTGCCCAGGAGGGAGCAGCCACCCCTGCTGGCTGGGCATCATCTGGGCACACTGCCAGAGGTTCTGACCAGCTGTCCCCCACCTGTGAACAGTCGCACTTCCTGGTCCTAAAGCGGTGGCGTGAGACGCCCTGGAGCCGGCTGGGTGAACTGATGCGGCGGGCTCCACGGGGTCCCTCCTGGACAGTGAGGGGAGCCCACCCAGCACACCTTCTGTCTGTTCTCAGGATGCCAAGTTCGTAGAGGAACGGAGAAAGCAGCTCCAGAGTTACCTGCGCAGCGTCATGAACAAAGTCATCCAGATGGTGCCCGAGTTTGCTGCCAGCCCCAAGAAGGAAACCCTCACCCAGCTGATGCCCTTCTTTGTGTGAGTACCTGGGACTGGGCACTGCTGCTTTGTCCTTTGGCGAGTTGGGGAATAAGGGGTCTGTCTGGCTCTGGTGGCCCAGCTGTCCTTGGTGCTGAAACAGAGGTGTGGCCTCGGTGCTTCTGAGACCCTGAAGGGAGGGTTATGTGAAGTCCTCAAGTAAATTCAGGCTCTGGGGTTGTTTTTTAAATAACTCCATCACAGTAAAGAGTCGTGTTCTGTTCAGCTTCCAGATGTTGCAAAACTAGAGCAAACTCGAGCTCCCGTGTTACCCCAGTAACACTCGAATATGAGCAAGCTTGCGACGAGGGCCAGACTCCTGCCCTTCCCTCAGACGATCAGTCCACAGTGGCCTGTTAACAGGGCAGGTGCTGCTCTGAACTGGGTCTCCTCATTGCAGCTGCCGGCCCCTCTCCTCTGCCCACGTTCCTGTGGCAGCTGGTGGCCACTTTGGTCACCACCTTGCCCCTGAGCAGTCCCCTGTTCTCAGTCTCCTCCTAGCCTGAGACATTTACATCCTTGGACTTGGGAGAACCCAATGACACCATCTTTGTTTTGTAAAAACCGAGATGCTATAGAAGCAGTGAAGTGACGTCTAAGATGTTGTCTGTGTGGGAACCATAGAAAAGACCTGGGGGTGTCCACGGTGGGACTGGACTGTGACTTGCTGGGCTGCAAACAGGTTCCTCTTCCCCAGTTCCTTCGATGGCATGTGGGGGGTGTGGGGCTGTTTCGTTCAGCAGCGATGCTGTACCTCAGACGCGGGCTGCTTCCTGGGGGATGTGCCCGGGACTTGCAGGTTGAACTTGCAGCAGATGCTGGCAGGGCTGCCCTGCTCTCACTGCAGCCAAGATGGCAGTTTGGGTCTACTTCAGGGCTTTTGGAAGGAGACCGTTGTGTTGTGCTGCTGTGATAAAAGGCACTGCGCCTGGGCAGAGGGACCTCTTTGGAGCATGGCGTTTGCTTGTGATGCCTTGGTCTTGGGCCACACTGGTTCATGAGAAGTTCTCGTCTACCTCCCATGGGAGCCCTGGTGTGTGGGTAGCTGACCTCTTGCTGAGTCGTGAACGTTTGGCTCACCTCCCTGAAGGCGGGATGGCTCCAAGATGAGTCTGAGCAGAGGCCCTGCAGGACGGCAGTGTCCCCCACCTAGCTCAGCAGTCCAGGGCTACCCAACAGCACCTCAGAGTTGGAAAAACTGCCTGTTCACAGGTGCTTGGGCATGGGTTGGACCCAGCAGTGCTGAGCAAGAAACCTTGGGTGTCTAATCAGCATGCAGGACACAAGGTTCAATTTCATGAGCTGTAAAAACACCACAAATGACATAATGTTGACACTGGACCTCGGACTGAACACTGGTCCAAACCCCACTTGAAATGGAGCATCTCCACTCCTCGGGCTTTCCTCACAGCTCCAGGCAGAGCTCCGCCTTCAAGTTGTCTCCTCTGGGGGCAAGGGGAGGTGCGCACAGCCATGCTGGCCCAAACAGCAAGAGTAGCATCTCACTGAAGCCTAGCAAGGAGAGGAGGTCCAGATTCCTTGCCCTTAAGAAAAAAAAAAATCTCTTGGCTAGGGAACTAAACCTCTCAAAGCATAAGTATTCTTCCAAATTGACAGATTTTTCTCACATACCAATTCAGGATCCAAGAGGGTGGGCTTGTTGCCTAAGATGTCACCCTATCTTTGGGGCACTGCCTAATCTGTCAACTGCCTTATTTCCTCTAATCTTCCTGAGAACCTCTTAGGAAGAGAGCTTCCAGATTTGCCATTAAGATAGTAGTTATATTATGAAATCTTGGGAAGACGACACTTGGCAGTTTCACCAGTACTGACGAGCAAGTGATCCCCTGGCCAGTCACCTGTCACCCTCACTAGGCATCCAGGTGGGAGGTGTGCCTTGAGCCTGGCCCTCACACTTGTTTTTAGGGGCAGTGGGATTTTCTTAGTTGAAGTAGTTGCCCACATCAAAACCTTAGAAGACATCAGATTTGGGGGGAAAAAAAAACGGATGTCAAGCTTCTCATGAAGCTCTGTCCCTCAGCGCCACAGCTCCTAGCTGCAGTCAGTGGGGACCTGTGCCCACTGAGCATTGAGCCTCCCATGGTACCTTTGCCATATGCCCATGTGTTGTCAGTCCTGGGAGCCAGCCCAACGTTCAACTGCAGGGTACAAGGTCCTCGGGGACACCAAAGCTGGTGGGTAGGACTTGCTTTCGTTTATCCTCATGAAGACATTCCCTAGAACTTTCAGGCAGGATCTGCTTTTGCACATGGTTTTCCATTTTCTGTGTGTTCCACTGTGTTCTGCAAGGGGCACTGTGACTTTTAAACAATCTGCCATCCGCACAAACCAGAGTGGAAGCAGCAGGTTGAATTCTACCCACCCCCAACCTCTGGGTCTCCCATTGCCTGCCTTGTCCATGCCAGCAGCTGAATTGGGAGGTAGGATGGTGGGAAGTGGGCCACTTCATTTCTACTGGGGACTGTATCGGTGTGACTCAGGAGCGTACCAGAGTCTACTTCCCAAAATGGAGATGAGTGGTGACCCCCAGCACCCTCTTCTGTTGAGACGCCCACTTTGATCGTGTTGGCCTGTGCTTGGGGAAAAGGCAGAGCCTGCAAACGTGCATCTGTAAGCACATCCCAAGGGGAAGGTCAGGTACTGTGTGTGCAGGGGTCCTGTCCTCCAGCGAGTCGTCCTTCAGGACTGGACTGCAAATGGGCGATGGCGTCCATGATTTGAGGAGCTGTCATTTAGTGTTGAGTTTCTGCAGAGTCATTCTTCCTTGGGAAGTCACCCTGCTCCTTGAAGGGGGAGAGGAAGTTGGGGTGGGAGGCAAAGTTCCAGTGGGATTTCAGCAGGAAATGCGGTCCGACTTCCACAGCTGCACTGCCACCGCACTTGAATTTGTTGTATTTTTTTTTTTTTTTTCCAAAAATGTGAACTGCTGTGTTCTCGCAGTGAACAGGTGAAGTTCAGCTCAGGGATGGAATGCCCAACCTGTGCTCATCCAGGGTTCGTCCAAGCTGAGACCTTTGGCCTTGCAAATCTCTGCTAACAGCAATGACATTGTTCAGGAACTGGCTCCCATTGCTTCTGTGGACTGTGGAGCGCCTCGGGGGTACTCAGCATAGCCCAGTGTGGGGAGGGAGTGCAGGTGCTGTTTAAGATGGCTGACATGAGCGGACCATCTCGTGTGGACGGTTGGGAAATAAGTGTGAATGACTTTCAGTGGGACGAGCGTGCCCTGGTTTGGCCTCTGCTCCAGCTGGTCCCTTCCTTTGGCCACCTCACCGATTCATGCCAACTCTGTGGCCCCAAAGGCAGACCTGGAAAGTACAGAGGTTTGGAGTCAATCATAGTTCCCAGCTCAGGGGCTGCTGTCATTCAAAAGGAATCCCTAGAAGGAGGGGGAAATCCCAGCAGAGAGCAAGGCATCCAGGACAGCAAAGCTGAGGCCTGGCTGCCTTGGGGAAGGCCCAGGTGGGGACGGACAAGGCTTCCCCCCACTAGGCCCGTGCCAGAGCTCGCTGGCTGAGGCTGCAGGGCTGCTGGCCCTGGCTTTGCACAGGGGCAGTTTAATCTGTGGGCAGCTTTTGGAACCATGGACCAGGGCTGCTCTAGCCACAGAAGCTGACTCTTTGGATCTGGTAAAAAGCAGCTGTGTCCCCTGGGCCTCTGCCATCAGGCAAGAGATGGGAGAAGAGGTCACTGGCCCTGCCCGGTTCCAGAGGAGTGAGGTCAGGAGCCTTCTTCTGAAGTCCTCCTGACTCCACGGTGCTTTTCTTTTCTCAGCTGTGAAAAATGAGCCTCAAAGTGAAGTGGCTGAGCCATGGTGTCACATGGGGATAGGGTACAGAGGGGAGTGTCAGTGGGGTTGATGTGGGGCCCAGGCCTCGTCATCATGCAACAGAGCGCTCTGAACCATGTTAACGGTGGCAGTCTCCAAGTTTAGAAGCTCAAGTGTGGTCCTCTGCACTGTCACTCACCTGACCTGCTGCCTCTCCTGGGGAGGCACTCTGGGGTGGCCTGCCACCATCAGCTCTAAAGCCCCCTGTTGTGGCTGCTGGTTGGTGTTGTCCATGGTCCTGTTCACCACCACCCCCCCTTTGGGGTCAACTTCTAGAGTAAGACTGCTGGAAGGTGGGACTGGGGCCAGTTAAGGGACTCCAGAGGCTATGGCCTGGGGGGATGGGGACCCAGGTGACCAGCAGCCCCTCCTTTATCCATCTACCTGGTCCAGAAAGAAGGCAGTTTGGCCTCAGGACTCTGCCCTGCTAGCCATCTGTGGGAGCAGCTGCTGGGAGGGAGCAGGGGTCCCGTGTGCGCTGCTTTGTTCACTGTGGGCCTGCAGTGGTGGTGTGTGTTCCCCACCAGCTCATCTGGAATGGGTTGAGAAGTTGCTGTCATGACTGGGGACAGTGGGCGTTTGGCATGAGTGACGAGGGGAGGGCTGTAGACGGGGCTCGACTCAGACCTGCCATGTGCTGATCTCAGATTCTTCCCAGCAGCTGGGCCTCGGTTTCCTCATCTGTAAAACGTGCCTGGAGACAGGCCCTGGCAGAAGGTTGGAGCACTAAACCACAGGCCCGTGGCGAGTTCCGGATAGGTCAGCTCTGGCAGCAGTAAGGACGATTCCTTTTGTCATTTGCAGGAGTGGCACAGCTCTGTCTTCTGGGTTCCTTAGAGACAGGTCAGAGGTGCTCATTCTGAGGTGTTGGCAGGCACGCTCCTGGAGACATCAAGAGACCAAGTATCTCTCCGTGTGTCCCCAGGGAGCAGCAAGCTGATTAGGGAGGCAGAGGCTCAGAGGTCTGGACAATGCCATCCCTCTGCCAAGCCCTCACTCCCAGCGACCAGGCTGCCAAGTCTCCCTGTCTCCCTCACAGAGGCCCTTTTTTCTCCTCAGTAACTGGTCAGGGTGCAGATGGTCCGATTTGATCATAACAGATAAGCCTGGGTTGTCATTAATTTTTGGTAGCATTCAAACAGCCACGTGA